TAGTGTATGATCACAGTGGGGTTCAAGCTAGGGGTTTAATGCTTGAAATATTCCCTACAACAACAAACAGAACACACCCTTAAAGCACCAAATAGCACAGTTCCACCATACAACAAACTCTGAAAGGCAAACACACATACGAAACAAGCATAATAGCAGCGCAAAACAACAACATATAGCAGCAACACACTCGATCATGGCAACACATGCATAAACCAAACAATAGCATACCAAACAGACATCTCCCAAGAACATTAAAACTTCAAAACTAACAGATGAAAATGAGCACTCACAGCAAATTTTACAGCTAGCAAAGCAATCAGCAACACTTGTTTACAACCTGCATCAGAAATCAGAACAAAATCATCAGAACCAAAATAAACAGATCAATAAAAATACCAACACCAGTAATCACTATCCATGGGCATTAACACGAAACCATCAACAAACATCCATTACTCTAAAGCCAAAAATCTATTCTATCCATTTTTAGTCACAATAATAACACTTTATCCTAAACATCTGCCAAACCAAGCTAATTAGATAAAAACACAATAAATCCTAACACAAACACTCAAACTTATTAGATCATAATACTACGTTATCTAATCCAGGCTTCATTTTGATTGTCCCTCGACTGTATCATGACCATTCCTAAACACAATTATATTCTTTTTAGCAACCCATTCTCATCAATACTTGTTTACAACTCACAACAGATATCAAAACAAAGCCATCAAAACTAAAATAAACTAACCACTCAAAATACCAACATTATTAATCACCATCCACAGGCATTAACAACAAGGCATCAACAAACAACCAATTAATCTAAAGCCAAAATTTCATTTTATCCATATTCAACCACAAACATAGAATTTTATCCTAAACACCCAATCAACCAACCTAATAATATTAAACCACACTAAATCCTAACACAAACACTTAAACTAATTAGCTCATAATACCACACTATCTAATCTCGTATTCCCTTTCATTTCCCCTTCACTGTATTATGACCATGAGTAAACAAAATTTTGTTTTTTAGCAACCATTCTCTTCAAATGATAGAACTAAAACTGTTAACAACACTAACATTATATTTCAACACCAAAACATTAAAAACAATCTAAAAGTGTCACTGCAATAATTTCAGCCTCAAAATTACTCCCATCAGGCTAACCAAGGAACAATGTTATAAATCCACATAGTACAATCTATGAATTATCAATAGCTTTGTCATGATCTTTATGTATAATGTCCAATGTTATTTTCCCAAGGTTTAGTACAATATTTTGGTAATACAATCAATTGCAATCATGCATACAAATGAAGACGATCATATATTAATTCATATAGATTTCATGGAATTTACACCAGAAAGCCACCTGATTAAGATAAGCTAATTAAGTTCCTCACCTATTCCTATTCCACTCCTCCTTTGTTTCTAGCTCAACTGCCTCTATTTTGCTGATTAAAAATCAACACTACAAGACCTTTTATATAGTCCTGAATTGAACACCTAAACCTGCGAGCCAAAGAATGCTTTAAGAGGTATTAGGCATCATTACCCACACCGTCAACCACAACTTTGAGCAGCATGCGCACCCACCCTTAAATCCCCTGAGCAATAGAGTGAGCTAATATGATCACTGTAATATCCAAGTAACAACCTTTTAACCAACAGGCAATAGACTACAACCCACGTAGCTCACCAAATTTCACACTAACAATCACCATAAATCCATCATCTAATTTCAAACCATATTCCAATCACATTTTAAATAAAACTTAAGTAAATAATTTCCTGACTAATTCATAAAATAACTACTGTAAACAAAATTTACAGCTAATTGAAAGTCCTGCAAACTACCACAACTAATTCAAGGCTCAAGCCTTGCAAAATACCCAAATTAACAACATAACAACATCATTAATCGAAACTACTACGAATTCAAAACCAAAAGAATTTATTTTAAACCAGACATAATTTCTCATGGCAATGTGGTATAATAATTCAAAATTAACAAGCACAACAACAAATAATTAGATTAACAACCCAACACCACCTGAAATTTTAATACAATAATATTTAAACTGCGAATTCAAAACCACCAGAGTTCATTAGCAATCAGCCACAATTTCTCATTACAAGGTGTTATAATAATCCAAAATTGGCAAATTAACAACCTAACACAATCTGAATTTTTAAAGTAACAGTGTTCAAAGTACGAATTCAAAACCACCAGAGTTCATTAACAATCAGCTACAATTTCTTATTACAAGGTGCTATAATAATCCAAAATTAAGAAGTACAACAACAAATAACTACATTAACCATAACAATTAGATCCTCTCCATAACAATCCACTTAATGTCTCTCCTCTCCATAACAATCCACTTAATGCCTCTCTGTTTAGGATTAGGATTTAGGATGATGTGTACAGCTCATCACATACATGAGCAAACAGCTCCACGTGCAACCTGTTTTCTGTTAAAAAAAACGAAAAACATAGTATCAGAAACAAAAAAATCAAAAAGAAAATAAAAAGAAGAAGGGCATGGACGTCAAAACACTGTTCATAAGGGATTTCAACAAAAAAAATAGGCAGGAAGTAAGGGTATAACTGGAACTACACTGTTCCTAAGGAAAAAGCAAAAAAATCAGCTACCTTCACCCTTGGATTTGGCTTTTAAAGGTTATGGATTGGTTTGACTAGCTTGTTATATTAGATGATTTGATTAGCGGGTTGTAAATAGTTGGTCGTATAAAAGTGTTAAGTAAATATGAATAGATGTTTATTGTAGTTGGTTTAGTGTATTTAATACTAAAAAAATTTACATGTTTCCAAGCGTGTTCAACAGTTTAGTGATGAGATTGATTGGATGAAGAAAATCTGCAGAAGTTCCAGATTGAAAAACAAAGTGATCCATGTAGCCTTTACTGAAACGGTTTATGGTATATGGATTCAGAGGAATGCAGTCTTGTTTACTGGGTGCTGCAAATCTGTTGATGCCCTTGTTAGGGATATTGTCTTTCATTCAGTCTGTAGAATCCCGGCGGGAAGCAAATTTTTGATTGTTTAGGGCTGCTTCTGCTTCTCTGGTTTTCTGGTGTTGTTGCTGGTTCTTGATATTTCTGATTCCTAGTTTCTGAGTGCTGATTTCTAGTTTTGGGTTTGTTTTTGCTGGTTTTGCTTTTGTTGCTCTTTTGGGTTATTGAGTGCTGTGTTGTTGCTGCTGGTTTGCTCTTTGAAGCTTTTTTCAGTTTTATAAAAAAAAATATATAAAGCTGATGGCTGCTGCTTCTCTGCTACTGCCCTGCTGGTTTGTTGCCATGCTTCTGGCTGCTACTGATCTGATGTTTCTGTTTCCCTGCTGCTCTGCTGTTCTGGTGTTGTGCTGCAGGCTGTTGCTGTTGCCCTGCTACTCTGCTGCCTTGCTGCTTTGCTGCTGTTGGTGCACTGTTGTGCTGCTGTTGTTCAGATATTGTTGTTGTCCTGTGCTGCTGCTCCTCAGCTGCTGTTTCTACTGTTAAGCTGCTGTGATAGTCAGCAGCTGGTCTGCTGTTGCTATTCTGTTGCTTGCTGCTGAACTGATGTGATGCTGCTGCTCAGTTCTGCTTCTGTTCAACTTCTGTTGCTGTGTTGCTGTTTTTGTACTGTGTGTTGTTTCTGTATGCTGCTGCAGTGCTGTGTTGGTTTTGTTGCTGTTGCAGTTGTTTGCGGTTGCTGTTATGGTTTCTGCTAGAGCTGCTGTTTTGGTTGCTGCTGTTTTGGCAGGTGGTGCAGTTTATTTGCTGTTGCTGGTCTGGTTTTTTGGCTAAAGTGGCAGCTGGTTCTGCTCTTCTGTTGGTTCTGTTCTTGTTGTTGTTTGCTAGCTCTGGGTGGCAGCTGGTCTGGTGCTTGCTAGGTGCTGCTGTTCTGGGTTTGGCAGAGGTTTCAAGCTTGCAGTTTGCTTGTAGATGCCTTGTCTCTAATAGAAAACCTTTGTATGTTTAGGCTTTTGTTGTTTTGGTGGTTTTTGGGTTGTTTGCCTTGTAGTTTGCTGCTAGTGTTGTTGTCTGGTCCTGGTTTCCAGAACCCTTCCTAGAAGGTGGCTGGAAATCTGAGTCCAGTTTGTTCTAGGCCCTTCCTAGAACCCATCCTAGAAGGTGGCTAGGATAGGATCTAGAACTGATTTTTGGGGGTTGGCATGTTATACAGGTCTTGTGGCGTTCTGGTGGTAGTTATAACTTAGCTCTTGTAAGTTGTAACTTTCTCTCTTTGGTAATAAAATTTTATTTTCCAAAAAAAAAAAAAATACTAAAAAAGTTAATTGTTCAATAAGCTAATTTTAAAAAGTTCTTATAAAGTCCTTTTTCTAAAATTGCTTACCTCTAATAGTGTTTAATAATTATAAACTTTTCAAAAATCTCTTTACCAAACAAGGTTGTTGTAATATGTGACAGTTCTAACAATAAAGCGGAGGATAAGATCCGATATACTCCATGCTCCATTCTTGTGTCAAAAGATTTTTACGTTAAAAATTATCTACTACCTCCGTCATATTATGTGCAACTTTGGATATAATTTGTGATACATAAAATATTCAAAAGTTACAAATAAAATGTATTGGGAGAAGTAATACTCAAACCACTTTAAGAACGTGTTTAATAAGAGTATTTTTTGTGTATTGTAAACAGATTTGATTAAAGTATTAAACCATTACCATTGCCAAGTGTTCAGTTAGAAGACTTATGTAGCAATTACCACTATTTAAGGATAATGATTTCCACCTATTAACCATCTTTAGAGCTTAAGGTAGCAATTAGGTGTAAGAAAAAGGTACATAGAGTATGAGAGAGAGGAAAATAAGGTATGTGGAATCAAGAAAAAAAAGGAGTACTAGACATAGTACTAAAAAAAACTCGAGTTAACAAAATTCAGGAAGGAAACTCCAAGTGCTGGACATGGATAAGCTTAGTGACTCATATCATGTGACTAGTTTCAATTAAACTAGTGCATGTACAATCTTCATGTGTCAATTTAGTAATTAGGAGCAATTTAAATAAGAAGTACAAATACAAATCCTTTACGTTTTTCTACTCTCTCTCTCCTCCCAATCAACCTCTCCCTTTCTTCTTCTTCTTCAATGGCGATTGGAGCAATGCTTAGGGCTTTCCGACTTCGCAACGCAAGCTTTTCTCTCCGACAATCCACCACTTCACGATTTGTAAGCTTCTTTTTCTTCAATCATTTCAAGTTCTAGGGGTGAGGGAGTTGATCATTGCATTACTGTCGAATTTATTTTTAGTATTAGATTGGAATTTTAACCAATTTACAATGTTTTTTTGATCGATTGATTGTTAATTTTGTGTTTTGTAATTGTTTGGACTGTTTAAATTCGAACTTAGTTTACTGTTGGATTGATCAATTGAATTTAAATTATGTGATGTTGTTTGGAAATTGAAAGTAATCACTGAAATACATATTTGATTGTTGTGGAGAATTCATGGTCAATTAGGGCTGATATTTTTGGTCTGATTACTTGCAATGCTAGTAAGTAATGGTTTAATGTAATTATTTGGAAGGTTAGCTATCGAAAGTTTGAATATGGATTTCCTTGTTACACAGTTTATTCATCAGTAAACTGCAATAAAATTTTAGTTAGCTGTTAGCTCCTTTGATTCGCAGGTTGGTTCGATTGAGCTGTGCACTTCTAAAGTTCTGACTCCGTGCTAGATAGTCTGACTGCTGTTGTGTGTTTTTATTTTAGCGGTTGTATGATTGCTTCAATTGTCTAATGGTGAAATTGATTTGAAATGTCACGTTTCTGTATTAGATATTGTAAAAGAGTGCATAATTCAGTAATAAATTTCGTTAATGGTCCTGCTGTGTGTTTTTGTTGGGTAACGAATAAGCTTTGCCTTCTTTGAGGACTAACCTACAAACCCCACCCAAACCCTTTATTCGTGGTGAACATCAAACCTGTGATGTGGATTCAAGAGGGGAAGCTCCTGCCAACTGAGCTTCCCTTTGCTCCTCCTTAATGTTTTTATCGTTCATATATCTGTATTAGATATTTGTTATCTTTACTAAACGCCTTTCTTCTATTAAACAATGGTATGTGAGTCTGGTGAATGTGGTTCTTGGTTTTGGCCTGTCTCAGTAATTGCTCTCTCCATGTCTTCTGGATTCAACTGTCTATTTTTATGCTGTTGTGACCATCATCATATGTTTATGCAATGCTTGCACCTCGTGTAGTTTGTTGCTTCCTTCTTTTAACTTTTACATTTTCTGATATACTGATCAAATGTTGTAACTTTATAAGCAAATCTTTGTTTTCCAAATTTTGCATGCTTACTCTAGTTTTTAAAATGTGGCTAAATCATGGAGGTCATTTCTATTTTAAAAGTGGCTATAGCCTATACATGTAACATGTTGTATCAATCATCAATTATTATCATCATATTGTGACTCTGTCGAATACATGAAGTTGCTCACCTTATTTGTGTTTAATGAGGCTATATCTTCTGCTTAATGGAATAGATTAGCACATTGGTGTTGGCTGAACATGAAGGAGGTTCCATCAAGTCATCGTCTATTAGTTCTGTAGAGGCTGCAAAGTGTTTAAGTAAGGATAATTCGATCTCCATGCTATTGGCCGGTTCTGGTCCCTCTCTCCAACAAGCTGCAACACATGCTTCCTTGTGCCATCCCTTAGTTTCGCAGGTATGTGCCTTTTCTTATTGAATGTAGACTTATAGGATAATATCATTCGCTTGGCGGTTTCAATGACTTAAAATATTTGAACAAAGTTAATCCAAACAAAGAATTTTGAGATAAGTGGTAAAACCTATGTTACTCGGACTCTTTCATTTACCTCACGTGTCCGTGTCGACACGACTCGTGTCGGACACCGACACCGACACTTGGACACTTCATTTTTAACTAAAAACACAGTTTTTTTCAAGAAAATGGGCGAGTCCGATACTTGGACACCCGTGTCTAATTGGACACTTCATCCGAGTCCAAGTAACATAGGGTAAAACAAAGAATACACAAAACAAAGAAATGAGCAACTTATTGACACTACTGAAAATTTGAGCTAGATAGCCAATAGAAGTAGAAGTTTTTATTTCACTACCATTTGTAGTCACATCTAGTAATTTGGGAACAATAGTTTTCATGGAGTTACCTTCTGAATAGTGGTGGTTTTTCTAGTAAGAGTTGGAAAAAGCTGGCAATGAGTTGTATACCATACAAACTTGTCATATCCTTTTTATTTTGTTCTGAGAAGCCTTGAGCAGCGGTCTAAAATTCTACTTTGTATTTTTGAAAGCCAATTCTTCCATTGGGTTTACTAAAATATGCCTTTTGATTGGATCATCATGGTTACCTTAACTTATTTAGAAGTATGTACCTTGAACTTGTAGAGTGGAAAAACTTTCACAGTACTAAGCTTGTGCTAATGATTTGTCTTGTAGGTGCTTGTGGCTGATTCAGATAAATTTATGCATCCTTTAGCTGAAACTTGGGCAAATCTGGTTGAATTAGTTCAGAAGAAAGGTGGATACACACATATTCTTGCTGCTTCTGGCTCATTTGGTAAAAATATATTGCCCCGTGCAGCTGCGCTTTTAGATGTTTCTCCAGTAACTGATGTAACTGAGATATCTGGGTCTCATCAATTTGTGAGGTACTTTTACTACTACTATCTGCTTTTGTTATCTCACAAAACTAGCAGACAAATGTTGGACATTTAAGGAGTACATTAAAAAAAAAAAAAAAAAAAAAAAAACATGTAGCATAGATGTATATGTTGAGATGGATGTGTGTTAAGTTGGTAACACTATGAAAAATAAAATTAGGAATGTAGATATTCGGGGAAAGTTGGAGTTACAAATATTAAAGATTATCTTAGGGAGAATAAAATATGATGCATTGGTAATGAAGGTGAAGGGTTTGGCTATTGGAATTGTCAAAAGAAGTTGAGGGAGACTAAAGATGACTTGGATCTAGGGAGTGAATAATGGATGATTTAGTGAAAGTTGGTTTGCAAAAGCATGTAGCACTGTATAAAAGTGAATGGAGGAAGAGGATCTTTGTAGATGACCACCTAAAATAGATTCTTGGTTTATGCATCTGACCCATCGTTCTAATTTGGATTTTATTGTTATATTCCTTTTTCTTCTTGATAAAATTGCTAAGACTATTATTTTAAAACCCACTGGATTTTATGTGTGGATGACTATGACAGGCCAATATATGCTGGAAATGCTCTTTGTACAGTTAAATATACTGGTGAGTCTCCATGCATCTTGACTGTCCGTGCTCCTTCATTTCCAGTTCCAGCATCTGAAACAAGATCCGATGCTGCTCCCATTACTCAGGTTGATCTCTCAGCCTTTGGTGAAGGTCTGTGTTTAGTTTAAATACAAACTTTTCTGTTGTCACACTTGGCAGTGATGGTAGCAATTGCCATCTTAATTTTGATTTAGATTATATTAAATGAGAGCCTCAGTCAGGGTGGTATTGGATGGCGACTTATACAATTCCGACTTCCGAGTCATGACATGTAAATCTGTGCTTGTAAGTATAGTTTTTATGAGCTCTGATTCTGGTAGTTCCTTTGCAGAAATTCTGGAGAAATCTAGATTTGTAAAGCGTAGCACTCAGGAAACCGAGCGCCCAGATCTTGGAAATGCACGCATTGTAGTGACCGGAGGACGAGGTTTAAAAAGTGCTGAGAATTTCAAGATGATCGAGAAGCTTGCTGAGAAACTTGATGCAGCAGGTATTTAAAAGCATTTAACATATGTTTGTTGATTACTTTACATAACTTTGAGCTTGAGTTAAATATCTTTTACACAGTTCTTCTGTGCTTAACATTTGTAACATAGCAGGTATTTAACCTGTGTTTGTTTTTTCCTTGCTTCCTTCTAGTTGGAGCTACACGTGCTGCTGTTGATGCAGGATTCATTCCCAATGAATTACAGGTAAATCAGTGCTCCTGAATCCTTATTGTACTTGTAGACTGCTTGATCTAAGATCTGTATCATCTTATAAAATTAGGTTTTTTGTTTTCATTGTCTAGTTCCCTGTGTTTAATATTTGTAATTTCACAATAAAAGGGTGCAGGTTGAAGCTTTTTATGAACAGATCAACAGAAACATTTTTAAATTGTACCTCTAAAATTGATAGCACTTCCTACATAAAGAACTCAAATAAGTCTTAGTTTCAAAATCTTGGAACTCAAAAAAAATGCCATCAAATCTACTAAGGTAATTATTTTGCATGGAATATAAAGAATACATTTTAGAAAGAAACTCATACATCCTTTGTGTGTGTGTTGTTGGGGAGGGGGAGGAGGGGGTGTAGGTGGGGTGAAGGACTGAAGGCTAAACAAATACAAAGTATTAAATGTCCTATGCGCTTCAACAATATTAAATATCAACAATATGCTGGTATAACTATGACAACATCAACATCCAGATTGCATAGAGCCATGGACGCCTTCACAAATGAGGAGGCTACAATGTAAAGTAAAATTTTGGTTGAGTCAGACAGAAAGCTTTTATCGCCAATACAATCTCTGTTTTTGATCCATAGTAGATTCTCTAGATAGTTTTCCATTGATGGTATGCAACACTCAATTCAATGTTGGTGCTTATAGACTGAAAAATATAAATTTATTCATCATATAGTTTACTGAACATGTTCATTTTTAACTTTGAGTTTTATTTTTTCCACTTTTTCTTTGTCTTTGTTTCAGGTTGGACAGACAGGAAAAATTGTTGCGCCAGAGCTGTACATGGCTTTTGGGGTATCAGGAGCCATTCAACACGTGGCTGGCATGAGAGACTCCAAAGTCATTGTAGCGATAAATAAGGATGCAGATGCCCCCATATTCCAGGTAGGAAAACAGTTTTCTTATCTTTATTGCTAAATTGCATTTATATTTGATTTTCTGTACCTTTGATTCATGAAAGTACATTTGCATCTGGAAACGCTGTATTACAGCAATTATGAGTGTACATCTTCCTCCCCCCTTCTTTTCTCACTGATGAGGAATTATAAATTGGATTGCATATTGGTGAGCCAATGTGGAACTAATGCAATATCCATACTTTAATTTGACACATTGCCACGGAATAGATCATGTTAAGACATGTTATATAGATGCATGATAATTCAGAACTGATATAAAACTTGGCCCTCCAATATGGGAATTAGTATGATCACTTTTCTCCGTGTTGCACATAAAGAACTTCATATATAGTCGAAACTCGTATGATATGATTTATGCATGGAAATTAGTATTAGATGCTGCCTTCCAAAAATTGAAGATTATGCCTGAGGAATCATCTCTAGTCACCCTTTGGTCCCTTCCAAGTTCCAACAACTCAGGTTTATCACAGAACGCTACTATCACGCTATTTTTTTTTTTTAAAATTTGAACTTAGCATACTTTTTGTTTTGCAGGTGGCGGACTATGGGCTTGTTGGTGACCTGTTCGAAATAATACCGGAATTGCTAGAGAAACTACCAGAGAAAAATAAAAAATTGTAAATTTTAGTGACAGGGCTCACTGTATATGACCATCAAGGCATCGATATGACAAATTGACAAGGCCTGTCTTACACAAGGTGCTGTTATTTACAAGCCCTCAGTTTTAGTTGTAGCAGTTCAGGACCTGTGGAAACGTTTTAATTCTATTCATATCCTTTTACAGTAATGAACTAGACTTTGTATTCCCTGGAAAAATAACATACTCCTTATCAATTTCTTGTTAAAATTGAAAAAAAAAACCTTGCCTATAAATCCTATAATACTTGGCACGTTTCCGTATTTACTTACTATATTACATTCACCCAACCTTTTACTATATTTCACTTACTGTTATCATACTTTTACACCCACTTTTTATAATAAATATTTTATATATCTCACATAATATTTTACAAAGATTGATTTATAAATAAAAAAAAGTCATACGACATCTATAATAAATTAACCTCTTTTTCAATCCCGCACAACTCTTAATTTAACCATGAAACAACTCTACAGCAATCCAGCAAACACCCTCTCAAAAAAAGAACAACAAACCTTTTCTTTTGAAAGAGAAAAATGACGAAGTAGAAAAGCCCATTCTTATAGGAGAGAAACGTTCCTCCTAAAAGAAGAAGACTTATTATAAAGTATAAACCTATAGCAAACAAAAAAAAAAAAAAAAGGAAAAGACAAAAAACAAAGATGGGAGCTTTCCACTGATAAAATTGGATGAAAGTCCCTCTAAAATTCAACAATATGATGGAGGTTATGGTTTTTGGAGGGAGGAGAGAGGACAGTGGAGAAAGGCTGAACTTATTGTACCTTTTCAGACTTAATTGGAACTAATTGGACTTTGTCAAATTTGGTTGAAACTTAGGCCATGTTTTAGTTCATTTTGAACTTAATCGGGAAAAAAAAATATAGATCAAATCAGAAACAATAAGTTCATATCAGATCATAAAAAAATAATTTATGACATACTTTATTGTTGAAAGTGTTTTTATCGATCACTAAATATCTTTAGATTATATAATACCTAATTGACGTACGTAGTATATTTGGAATTCAGTAAGGTAGTGTTTGGATGAAGGAATTAATTTAATTTGAAATCCTAAATCAATCCCCAGTATTATATAATGCTTGAATTTCAATTGTGAAAATTGATATTATTAGGAGTTATGGACTTATGGTAGCCCTTGTATCTATGATTGCCTTCAATGGATGAAATGACAAAACATTTAGGTAATTAGTTACAGAGACGTCTAGTAGTAGTGATGGTGAAAGAAGAAATGAAGTGAGCCTGATGATAAATTAATACTAGTAGAAGGGTTGGTAATGTGTTTGTAGGCTGATGGGCTTAGTAGAAGGAGAAGGGTTATATCTGGGAATTACAAATGCGATTGTAAAAATTGTCATTTTAAATTATACGGTATTAAAGTATGTAGTTCCTATATGGGTTCTCAATCCGTTTCATTCCAATTTGTTGAACCAAACAATCTCTAAGAGCTCTGAATTCTAACAATATTACTCCGTAATAAGAGAAACCACGAAATTTATCTTTAGAATTTTAGTGTAGTTTTTAAAGAAGTTCCTCCTTCTAAAAATGCACATAAAAATGAGAAATTGACATCATGGAGGAGTCTGCGCTCTGCATAATACTTGGTATTTATAATTTTGCAAGTCTTTAACGTCGTAAAATATTAATATTAGACTGTTTTTTTTTTTTTTTTTTTTATATATATATATATATATTTACTACGGAGTACTTGATATTTATATGTACTGAACTTGTGATGTGCCAACGAAGCGCATCTAGTGTAGTGGTATCATAGTACCCTCCCACGGTACTGACCGGGGTTCGATTCCCCGGATGCGCATATTTTTAAAAGTCTTTTTTTAACACAATTTATACATGCAAATGTGCAATTACGTTTTTTTTTTTCAAAACAAAAAAAAAAAAAAAATTCAAATAGATTGATTCACAAGCATGCTCCATTTACCAATAATTTTGTATAACAATCTACACAAATTACCATTTCTCTTTCCTAGCTCTCTATATTTAGATAAACCAAGCTCCTTCTAGCTTAAAATCTTAGGGCATGCTCACTTAATTTCAGTTCAGTTCAATTAAATTCAGCTTCAATTAGTTCAGCTTCAATCATTTCCTAATTTTCTTCTGTCATAAAATATTCATCTAATTTAAGCTCCATTCAATTCAGTTCAGCCCAGCAATTCAGTTTAGCTCAGTTATGTAAATGTGAACAGACCCTAACTGTGAAGAAATTAGAATATTTTCTAAAGAACATTGTCGTATTATCTTTCGATGTTCTGATCTATTTTTTCTTCTTTATTCAATCCATATATATGTGAGAAGGCGAATTTATTACCAACTTATTCTTTGGGTTTTTAATTCTTAAAGTTGGTATGCTAAATTTTATTTTGGAATTATCAATTAGGAAGGTGGTTCAAAAGGGTTTGGAGTCTTTCGTCAATTTTGCATTGGAGATTTGAGTTGTGTTTTACTAATCTTTATAGAGATTTTAAATGATGTTGTTAAATTAGTCACAATTCATCAAAATTATCACTGTGTTTTCTCATTCATAACAATGGCCATCATACAAGTATATATAATGCTAGGAGAATAATAACCTAACATATTCTATCATATCTTTTCACAAGATATGTTTCCTAAAAATATGCACAATAATATCACAATAATATCCTAGATATACTAGAATATCTCCAATACCCCCCTCAAGTTGGAGCATATGGATCATAGGGTAAATTCAAGTTTCTCTCTGAGATAAATCTGTGAATATATCTCCTCTCACAATCTAATCATTTTATTTTATTTTTTAAATGATAAAAGTAAAATAATAAAGAGGCACAGAAATCCATGCATAAAGTTGTGAGAGGAGATAAACTAAAATTGTTAATCCCTGAGATTAACTGGGGCTCCCTCTGGATCATATATGCCCAACTTGCGGAGTAAAAATTCAAACTTGACTTTTCCCAAAGCCTTAGTGAAAATGTCAGCCAAGTGAAGCGTCGTAGGCACATATGACGGACTAATAAGACCCTCTGTAATAGCATCTCTAACAAAATGACAATCAGCTTCAATATGTTTCGTCCACTCATGAAACACCGGATTTTTCGCAATATACAATGCCGACTGACTGTCACAATATAGGTGCATGCCACTGTCATGTCGCACACCTAAATCTCTGAGAAGCCGCTTAAGCCACTTCAACTCACGAGAACAAGCAGACATAGACCTATACTCTGCTTCGGCAGAGCTCATAGCAACCGTGGGTTGTTTCTTAGTCTTCCATGACACGGGAGATAAACCAAGAAACACAAACCAACCTGTCAACGAACGCCGAGATAATGGACAACTCGCCCAATCCGAATCACACCATCCTTCCAACTGCAGAGCACTATCGGACCTCAGGAGAATACCCTGACCTGGACTCTTCTTCAGATATCTCACAACACGCAAAGCAGCATCCCAGTGCTCTACTCTCGGGCTCTGCATAAATTGAGACAAAATATGCACACAATAGGCCAAGTCCGGCCTAGTGACAGCTAAATAAATTAAACGTCCTATAAGACGTCTATACCGCTCCACATCACCAAATAGATTCCCATCTGCCAGAGCTAGCCTGTGATTTTGCTCCATGGGAAAATCTGCAGGTTTCGCATCAATCAACCCTGTTTCTGTAATAATGTCTAAGGCATACTTTCTCCGACACATGAAAATTCCCTGATTGCTTCGAGCTATCTCTAGGCCCAAAAAATATTTCAGAACACCCAAGTCTTTCATCTTGAAGCAGTTCCCTAAATATGTTTTGAATGACAACAATGCAGATTTATCATTCCCTGCAACAATTAAATCATCGACATAGACTAGCACATTAAGTTGCATATTCCCTCTCGTCAGAGTAAAAAGATAATAATCATAATATGATTGTTTAAAACCATATTTTTTCAATGTCGTTGTTAATTTTGCAAACCAACAACGAGGTGCCTGCTTCAAGCCATACAATGACTTTTTCATTCTACACACTTTCCCAGAATTATCTTTGTTAAAACCAATGGGAATTTTCATGTATACCTCTTCCTCCAAGTCACCATGTAAGAAAGCATTGTGAACGTCCATTTGATGGACTTCCCAGTTTTTTACTACTGCAACTGCAAGAAAAGTTCGAACCGTCACCATCTTTGCCACCGGAGCGAATGTCTCATTATAGTCTAGGCCTTCGACCTGGTGATTTCCAAATATGACTAGTCTTGCCTTCAATCGTTGCAAATTCCCGTGCTCATCATACTTCTCTTTGTATACCCATTTGCTACCGAGAGCTTTCTTTCCAAGTGGTAAATCATCTAGCACCCACGTGCCTTGGTCTTCAAGTGGTTGAATTTCATCGGCCATTGCTTTTCTCCATCCCTCATGCCTCATAGCCTCTTTAAAATTTTTTGGCTCATTACCACCTGTAATTGCTGCAATATATTTTCTATGTTTCACAGAAAACCGATGAGAATCAACAAAATGTGTTATGGGATAGACAGTACTTGAGGAGGGTGATGCAGATGAACTTTGAGATGCGAATGGACTATTATTTCGGATTGTATGGGTCACATAATCGCGGAGCTTGACGGAAGGCAACTTTGTACGCATTCCCTTTCCCATGTCACTGGGTATTTCAGCATGCTCAAGGTCCTCGACAGAGGCACCTAACTGCTGTCGTTGTGCCTCGGATGCTGCCAGAGAGGAATCCGGACCTGCCTGGGGCTTCACACTGCCACTAGCGTGCGCTGGAGACCCACCAAGCGTCTCAGTGCTGCTGGCAGTCCCAGCCACGGGTTGGTTGGGGTCTGGGTGGTCATGCCGCAGCCCCCCCTCACCTATGTTCTCAGCAATGTTCTCATGTTCAACCTCCAATCCCCAACATCATGATTACTACTTAAATCATCATCACTTGCAAAATGTTCTTCAACCTGAGCATGAGTAGCAGCTTCTACTCCCTCGGCAGTGGGTAAAAGAAAAGGGAACTCACCCTCAAAAAATTGAACATCACGAGAAATAAATCTCTCTTTGGTCTCCAAATCATACAACATCCACCCCTTTTTACCAAAGGGATACCCCAGAAATACACACTTGCGGCTTCTATTAGCAAACTTGTCTCTTTTGCTACGTTGATTATGAGCATAACACAAGCACCCAAATACCTTTATATATTCATATGAAGGTCTTTTATCAAATAAAATCTCATACGGAGTCTTATAATCAAGTAATCTAGATGGTGTACGATTTATCAAGTGACAAGCCGCTTGAACACACTCCCCCCAAAATCGAAGAGGTAAATTTGCTTGAAATCTCAAAGCACGAGCCACATTAAGAATATGTTGATGCTTACGCTCAACACGACCATTTTGTTGAGGAGTCCCAACACAAGAAGTCTCAAATATTATCCCATTAGCAAAAAAATAATCACGTAAGGAATTAAATTTCGTGTCGTTGTCACTACGAACAAGTTTAATGTCATGCTCAAATTGACGTTTAACCAAAGCAACAAAGTTAAGGAACATCAATTCAAATTCAGTTTTATTACGCAATAAATACGTCCATACTCCTCTTGAAAAATCATCTACTATAGTCAAGAAATAATGGGAACCACAAGTCGAAGCAACCTTGTAAGGTCCCCATAGATCAACATGAATAAGTTCAAACATACGACTGGCCCTATTGTTGCTATTAGGAAAACTACTCCTATGTTGTTTTGCCCGAGGGCATACATCACATGATTTATTTTTGAGACTACTACTAGAAATACTCACAAATGGAAGGGATTGTAGAACTTTTCACGAAGGGTGCCCCAATCGTTGATGCCACAACTCCGTCGAACGATCACTGTCTATCTTCAAAGCCTTCACTCCCGGAACACCTCGAAAATAATATAGTCCATCTACTCGTTCACCCGCTCCAATCACCTTCCTCGTCGTTAGGTCCTGTATAACACAAATTTTGTTAGTAAATTGCAGAGTGCAATTAGATTCATCACATAATTGCGTTGCAGAAATTAAATTGCAATTTAATTGATGTACGAAAAGAACATTCTCAATTTTCAAACCCCCTTGCAAAGTCACGGTTCCAATTTTAGAAGCATTGGCACTTTTCCCGTCTGGTAGTCCAACCGGAAAATGTTGAACATTAGAAACATTCGTCAATAGAGATAAATCACAAGTCACATGATTGGATGCGCCGGTGTCAACAATCCAATCTGTTTTATCCTTACCCTGAAGTTTCGGTTTCATGTTTGCTAAGTGCTCAATGATCTGCTGGATTTGAGCCGAAGTGACTCCCGAAAGGGCAGCCCCATCTGCTGCCGTAGCACTTGAAGAAGCAGAAGAGGCAGCTTGCCCCCCTGTTTTATTAGCACGCACAGGGGCAGCAGTTGCGGAGTTGCCTCGACCCCCACCACGACCTCCACGTCCTCCTTTGTTTGTGCCCGAATCACCACGACCTCGGCCTCTGCCGCCCCGAGTCCGATCACCCCACCAGGGTGGGTACCCATTAAGTTGATAACAATCTGATTCGTCATGACCTTGCCGATTACAATAAATGCACAATTTGTCTGAATTTTCACTTCCTCGACTCGGTTTGGATGAAGAATCATGCTGCACCTTGAATGCCATAGCATTCTCACGTGAGGACAAAATAGCAGTATCACCTCCTCGCAAGCGTTCAGCTTGAATTAGCTGTTGATACGCCTTGTCTACAGTCGGAATAGGGTCTTGAGCCAGTAATTGACCCCTAAGAGAAGCATAAGCATCATCCAAGCCAATCAAGAAGTGATGGACGATGTCTTCTTGCCGCAATCTTTTCACCTGTGCAACAATGTTGCACTTACACGCTCCACAAGAGCACGAGGAAACCGTAAGATAGGTGTGCAATTCATCCCATATTTTTGCTATTCTGCCAAAATAAACGGCAATCGAATCAGTCTTGCCTTGCTTACACTCTCCCAAGGAAAATTTCAATTGGCATATTCGGGTACCGCTCACCACACAAAAGCGATTCTTCCGATTATTCCACAATAGTTGAGCATCATCATACTCACCAATTGTAGCCCTCACCGAGGAGTCTAAAGTGTTCGAAATCCAGGCAACCAACATTGAATGAATGGCTGCCCAATCTTCAACTTGTCTTCATCTGCCGGTTTGTTAACTGAGCCATCAATAAAGCCATACTTCCGATTGGCCTTCAACGAGGTACGTATAGCCCTCGCCCACTCATCATAGTTCTCACCCCGAAGCTGAATCGGAGTAATTATATTTCCAGGTCCATCACTTGAGCCAAGATGATAAGTCATGTCAATTTTTGGTTTTCCTCCACCGGAGCCGTCACCACCAGTCATCAGTTACAACGGAATAAGGAATGAGAAAAAAAAATCGTCTCACAAACTCACAGTAAACGTTTACCAATTATGTAAATCGGACAAACGAAGACAAATTAATTTTGATCTTAACTAGGCTCTTGATACCATGTTAAATTAGTCACAATTCATCAAAATTATCACTGTGTTTTCTCATTCATAACAATGATCATCATACAAGTATATATAATGCTAGGAGAATAATAACCTAACATATTCTATCATATCTTTTCACAAGATATGTTTCCTAAAAATATGCACAATAATATCACAATAATATCCTAGATATACTAGAATATCTCCAATAGATGTCTTATTATTATTAATAATTAATGATATTCTTCTCATATATATATACATATATATATACATATATATATACATATATATATATATATACATATACATATATATATACATATACATATATATATACATATATATATATATATAGGGGAGGGATCCGGTGAGAATAGGTTCATATGTGAGAATTCATACTTATATGAGAACTGATCTATAATTTAGTACACGTGAGTAAAAATTTAGAACATACGAGAAAAAATTTAGAACATGCGATTCAAGTTTAAATTTAGAACATACGACTAATAATTTTGAACATGTGAATGAGCAATAATTTAGAACATCTGATTCAAAAATTAGAACATGAGAGTAAAAATTTAAAAATTTTGCTTTATAAAATTTAGAACATATGATTAAAATTTAGAACATCTGATTTGAAATTTAGAACATGTGAATAAAAAAATTTAGAATACTTGGTATAAAGTATAGAAAATGGGAGTAAAAATATTGAACATAAAAGTAAAAATATAGAACATGTGAGTCAAAATTGGAACACATGCTATCAAATTTAGAACATATAACTAAAAATCTTAGAACACACACTCGTTTTAAAATTTAGAACATACTTGTATAAGTTAAAATTTCGAAATAAGTCATTCGAAATTTATAATATCCCACTTAACTAATTTATGGTTTAGAACATGTGAGAACTAATTTAGAACATCTGATTTAATTTAGAACACCTAGGGAAAAGTTTAGAACATTAGATTTAAAATTTAGAATATACGAGTAAAAATTTAGAACATAAAAAGTGTTCTCACATAAGAAAACTTCTCACGATATATATATATATATATACATAGGGTCGGGATCCGGTGAGAACCACCCTTTATGTGAGAACCCACACCTTATGTGAGAACAAATCTCAGCCGCTAGATTAGATGAAATCCAACTGCTGAGATTATAAGCCTGCCTACAAGCTAACTTTCAGCATCTAATTTATCTCTCCCCTCTATTCTGTCTGCAATTCAAAGCTCATCAATGGCGATTTACTTATCAATGGCGATTCACTGAGTATGCTCTTCTTTCGGCAAATTTCAGCGGTTTCTTTCTGAAATTTTCAACGGTTTCTTTTTGCAAATTTCAACGGTCGCAATTTCATCCACCATTGAGGTTTGTTCGTAATTTTAATTTTGAATTGCATGTTAATCTGAATATTCAATATATTTTGATTTTACATCTCTGAAAAATTTGGAATTGCATGTTAATTTTCGAATTGAATTACATGTTAATTTTCAAATTACATTAATCGAATTGAATGTTTAATTGCATCAATTATTTGATTGAATTGAATCAATTATTTAGGTTTGATTAATTTGATAGAGATTTTAATAATATCAGATTAAACTTTATAGTGATTGAATCAATTATTTGTGTTCTTATTTTCAATCAAATTCAAAATGAGCAAATAAATTAAAATGAGCAAACCTAAATATGAATAATAGAACAAAGTGGATATGAAATGAGCAAAGTGGATATGGAATGAGAAAATTCATATAAAAATGAGCAAATTGAACTTTGCTGTTATTATGTTCTTATTTTCAATCAAATTCAAAATGAGCAAATAAATTAAAATGAGCAAACCTAAATATGTATAATAGAACATTTAAAATGAGGTAACTACAATTAAAATGAGCAAATATTAATGACATTCATAAGTAATTCAAGGATCTATAAGTTTTGCAAATATTAGCTTGTAAAAACACTAAGTATACAGAATTGTGTATGTATGTGTGTGTGTGTGTGTGAGTGAGTGTAACAGTGTGTCTGTGTGTGAGTGTGAGTGTGAGTGTGAGTGTGAGTGTAAGTGTGATTGAGTGTAAGAGTTTATATATGTGGGCATTGAATTGCATGTTCATTTGACAAATGAGCAAACCTATCCCCCCCTGCCCCCTCCTCTTTCTGCTTGCAATTCTGATTTCAGAAACTGATTTCAGTTATAATTATAGATTATGAAATTATTGAGTGTGTGTGTGTGTGTATGTGTGTGTGTGTGTAAGTGTGTATCTATGTCTGTGTGTGTGTAAGTTTGTTTAAGAATCTGATTTCAGTTCTAATTATTAAGAGTGTATGTGTGTGTTTAAGTGTGTTTAAGGAGGTGCATATTCACAAATGATGAGCAACAACGAACAAGTTGAGAGTCAATCAAGTACCATCACAAATGTGCCAACTACTCCTACAATAGTAGTTTCTCTTAAAGTAGCACCTTTGATCACTCCTGGAGGAACAAAAGAATGGCATCCAATATGCCCCAATGAGTTGAAACCAGCTATAGGGATGAAGTTTAATAATCTTGAAGAGGGCCTTGAATTTTATAAAGGCTATGCATTTGCTTCTGGTTTCAATACAAGGAAGTCTACAACTAAAAGACAAAGAAGAAGCAAAGAATTAAAATATCAGTATATCTTGTGCAATAAGGAAGGATACAAAGAAAAAAGAAAGACTACTGTAGAAAAAGATTTAAATAACAAGGAAGGGGAAAACAATGAAGAAAAATCTTCAATCAAAAGGAAGAGACTCGTTACTCGTGTTGGGTGCAAGGCACATATTGTCCTAAAGCATTGTGATGATAACACATTCATAGTGACAAAATTTCATGAGGGACATACTCATGCACTTTATACACCTAGCTGCAATCTATTCCAAAAAGAAGGAAGGAAAATGAACATTTTACACAAAAAAATAATTGTGAATAATTCTAAGGTAACACTTTCAAATTCTCTTATGTTTGATGAATTCTATGTATGTTCTAATAAAAGTTGTTTGCTCATTTGACAAATGAGAAAATAATTTTTTTCTCATTTGCCAAATGAGCATTGAATTGTTTCATGAATTCTCTTAAGTTTCAAATTCTCTTATGTTTCATGAATTCTCTGTATGTTCTAATAAAAGCTGTTTGCTCATTTGACAAATGGGCAAATAATTTTTTTCTCATTTGACAAATGAGCATTGAATTGTTTGCTCATTTTAAAAATGAGCATTGAATTATTTGCTCATGTGACAAACTGTTTTGTTCTTTAAATAGGTGAATATTGGTCCCGTTACAACTTTTTGAATGATGAAGGAAATTGTTGGAGGATATGAAAACATTGGTGCATCTAAGGAAGATTTCAAAAATTTTCATAGAGATTTAAAAGCATACATTCAAGGAAGCGACGCTCAAATGTTCGTGGATAACTTTACCAACAAAAAGCTGATGTGGAGCGCTTTTTTCTTTGATTTTGAGATGGATGAAGATTATTTCCTTTGTAGAGCATTGTGGGCAGACCCCCTTTGTAAAAAGAGTTATGCTCTATTTAGTGATATGGTATCCTTTGATACCACATACCAAACCAATAGGTAATTCATTTATGTGTTATTACTAGCTATGGCTGAAATTAATGACTTTGTTTTAAATAAAATTAGTTTAATTGCTCATTACTTCTATGTGGAAATTGAATATCCCCATAAGTCTAATATTCTTTGATAAGAGTATGTATATGGGCATTGAATTGCATGTTCATTTGACAAATGAGCATTGAATTATTTGCTCATTTGACAAATGAGCATTGAATTGTTTGCTCATTTCACAAATGAGCATTGAGTTATTTGCTCATATGAGAAATGAGCATTCAATTATTTGCACATTTGACAAAAGAGCAAAGAATTGTTTGCTTATTTCACAAATAAGCATTGAGTTATTTGCTCATTTGACAAATGAGCAATCGATTATTTGATAATTTTTCAAATGAGTATTAAATTATTTGCTCATTTAAACTTTATTTTGTATGTGTAAACAGGTACAACATGGTGTTTACTCCATTTACAGGCGTTAACCATCATAAGAATTGCATTAATTTTGCTGCTGGTTTCATAGCAAAGGAAGATATCGTGTCATTTGAATGGCTGTTCAGATCATTCCTCAAGGCAATGGGTGGGAATGAACCTAATTGTATGATCACAGATCAGGATCCAGCAATGAAAATTGCTATTAGAAGTGTGTTTAAGAAGACTGAACATCGGTTCTGTATGTGGCACATAATGAAAAAGTTACCAGATAAGGTGGAGAAATCAATCATGCAAGAAGAAACTGGTTTCCTAAAAAAATTATGTGCTTGCGTTTGGCACCTTGAAATTGAACCTGCTGAGTTTGAAGAAAGGTGGAACAAGGTGATGATTGAATACCACTTGGAACAACATGAATGGTTAGGTTATATGTACAAGATAAGAGACAAGTGGATTCCGGCCTATTTCAAAGATGTGTTCCTTGGAGGAATAATGCGTACAACATCAAGATCCGAAAGTGAAAACAACTTTTTCTGCTCCTTTATCAATCCTCATGTGTCACTTGTTGAGTTTTACTTGAGATATGAAGCTGCAATTGATGCCCAGAGACACACTCAAGGTCAGAATGATAATGATTCAAAGCACAAATATCCTGAGTGCAAAACACCACTAGGGATAGAAAAGCATGCCTCACATTTATATACTAACTCTGTCTTTTATGATTTTCAATACGAGGTTGAAATTGCTTGTTTTTCTTGTGGTGTTGATGAATTGAAGAAAGAAAATGAATTGGAAGTTGCAACAGTAAGTGAAGGAAATCGGACTAGAACATTTGATGTTGTGTTTAATCCAACTAACTATGACACCACATGTTCTTGCAAGCTATTTTATAGGCAAGGAATTCCATGTAGACATATGATTTGGGTTTGGAAAGAAAAAAGGTTTGAAACCATTCCCGAGTAGTATATGCTACACAGGTGGACTACTATGGCATTAAAGAAACCAATTTTTGACTTGGGAGGAAACCTGTTGGAGCAATGTGCTAATATAATAGATAAGAAAAAATTGTTAAATGATTTATGGTCAGAGATACACACTTGTGTAAGTTTGGCAGAAGGTAAAGATGAAGATATTCAAGACCTTGTGATAAATCTTCAAGGAATAAGAAAGGATTTGGAAGCAAAGAGGATTGCAAGAAATAATGAAACAACAGCTGGAAGTGCAAAAAACAAAGAGCGAGACATTGAGCTATTGATTGGAGCTAGTGTGCCAACTGAAATAATTGTCAAACCTCCAAAAGTTTCAAAGAATAAAGGGACTGGAGTTCATGTATCAAATGAAGAGACTTCAAAAAAGAAAGCGACTGAGATTGATGTGTCAAATGTTGAAACAAGAGGTAGAAGTGCAAAAAGGCTTAAGGGAGAAAAAGAAAAGGCTGTAGAGCAAAACCAAAAAAAGAAGAGATTATGTAGAGGTTGTGGTGAATTGAGTCATCATGATATTAGAAATTGTCCAAAAAAGTGTAATGGTACTTTTATATACATATAAGATTTTGTTGAATTTTTATATTTAATAATATATTATTAATTTTGAACTAATCATAGTTTAATGCTTTGCAATATTGTTGAATTGAAAATAGAACATAGTCAAATTAGTGACTAAATATTTGTTCATTTCTCGAATGAGCAATAATTCCTTGCTCATTAATCAAATGAGCAAATAGTTAACTACTCATTTTGTCAAATGAGCAAATAATTAAATAATTATTTGCTCATTTGGTAAGTGAGCAAATTAGCTATTATATGAACTTGGAACAATTGCACTCTTGTTTCATCTCCCAATCCAAAATCAGCTCTCCTTGGGTCAAATGAGCAAACATATCTTTTCTCAATCATCAAATGAGCAAGTAATTCCTTGCTCACTTAGCAAATAATCAGAAAAGGTAAAAGCTCATTTCTTAAATGAGCAAAAATAGTTGCTCATTTGTGAAATGAGCAAACATTTCTTTATTCGTTTATCAAATGAGCAAGAAATTCTTTGAACATTTATGAAATGAGCAAGAATTCATTGATCTATCATTTAATAAGCAAACATTTGTTTGCTCATTTAACAAATGAACGAATATTTCAAATGAAAACGGCTGTATATAACAAGGTATGTGAAGTAAAAACAAAAAAAAGATTGAATTTTAATTCAAATATAATCATCACTATAGTAAAAAAGGGTAGGCTTCTATTGGTAAAATCTGTTTATAAATCAGTCTTACATCATTCAAAGACTACTTAAAAGTAGATAAAATCTTAATTTACCCAATTCCCTAAACCAAAAAAGACAAATCATCACTACTAACTATTTAATTCCCTAACATTCAGCTTTCTTCAGTCTTTTGCTCTTTCTTCCTTGAACTTTTTCTTCTTCAGGCTTTTCTTTTTCAGCATTTTCTTCTTTGTCAGCAACAGAAACTTTACTTTGCTTTTTCTTCTTCTGAGCAATTTCTTTAACAGATTGAATAGTGTTCACTTCACTTGTAATTATTCCCAGGGTGTACTTTTCACGAAGTTTAGTCAAGATTATCAGCTGCAAAACAAATAACATAATCAAACCCTATACAATTAAGGAGATTTCAATAACATGAGCAAACATGTAAAAGTAATACCACAAGTTGCAGTTGTAACTTATAAGGCAATGGCCTACGGTATTGCTAGATTAATGGACCATAGACCTCAAAATTAAAGTAAACATTTGATAGGAATCCTTGCTCATTTGTCAAATGAGCCAACATTTCTTTGCTCATTTGATAAATGAGCAAGTAATTTCTTGCTCATTTAGCAAATAATCAAAAAGTTAATTGCTCATTTCTTAAATGAGCAAAGAATTAGTTGCTCATTTGTGAAATGAGCAAACATTTCTTTGTTCATTTATGAACTGAACAAGTAAATCCTTGCTCATTTTTCAAATGAGCAAACATTTCTTTGCTCATTTGATAAATGAGCAAGTAATTTCTTACTCATTTAGCAAATAATCAAAAAGTTAATTGCTCATTTCTCAAATGAGCAAAGAATTTACATTATTTTTCTTCAAACCAGGATCCCACTTTGCACAACCCATGTATGTTTCCATGAGTCTCATCACTGCAACTCCACAATGCAAATGATTTTTATCCGAAGACTTCCATGAACCATTAATCACAGAAATTTCCATCCGCTTGATATCATTTGCCAAAATAGAACTCTGTACATTTCCTTCACATTGAATAAAGTTTAAAAAAGCAGTTCTCTGAAAACAAAAACATCAAATAAGCAAACATAATAAAATCTAATCATTCAAGTAAAAGAAACAAACATAATGTGAATAGAGATTAACTTTTAAGCCATACCAAATGTTTTAAAAGCTGTTTATGATCTCCAGCATCTTTGTTATAATCAAAAAGCTCAATATTACCATTCAGTGTGGTAGTGTTAAAACATACCAAATAGTAATGATCTTCTTCATAAACTGGGAAGAAAAAAAGTTGAATATCCTTGTGTGGTACAACTGATTTCATGTACAAATTCTCAGCAACCTCAAAAAACATCTTATTCCGATGGGCAACAAAATCTATCTCATAGTGAATAAGACAGTCCTACATGTTAAAGAAAAAAAAATTAATTACAACAAAAAAACAAAATAATTCAATAAAACAAAATAAATGAAAGAATTTGAACTTATGGTAGCACTAAGGTCAAAAAAGAAACGAGCAGGAGAATTTGGATCTCTAAACTGCTCATTATAATTCAGAATGCTACACCAAGCATTAATGATCTCTGTATCAACTTTATATTTATTATAAAGATTCTCAAGATGTACTCTCAAAATTTCAAGACCATTCTCTCCATTAAATACTGGTTCACTGCATAAAAAGAATAAAGAAAGTTAGTATGTCTAAAACAAATGGAAGTTAATGTACAAGATAATAAATTCTATAGATAAAAAAAATACTTACAGACGATTTTTATCATCAGCAAACATTGCCTTCAAGACGCTCATCTGAACTGGTGATAATGGATTGTAAATTATCATAATGCGGGACTTAAAAGGTGATCTAAGAAGCACTGATGGCTGAGGTTTGCGTTTCTTAGGAATAGAACTCTTCTTTTCAGTATCACCTTTTCTCTTATGCACAATTAAAGCTTCTTGAGCATCAGAAATGAGATCTTGAGGATTAGCAATCAGAGCATCACCAACAGCTTGAGAAGCATCAGCAACAGAAGCACCAACTTGTGCACTGACAGAAGCAACTACAGGTTCAGTAGGCGCATTGTTAGGGGGAGAATTAGTTTCTTGAGAAAAGTCTCCTAAACTGAATGTAGGAGTTCCAGATCCTTTGGCAAGTGAATGTCCTGAAGCAGATTTGAAACTTGAATCTCCAATTTTTTTGAACACATTTTTAGCAGCCCAATCTGAACATCCAACATCAGGGATACAACTTGCTATCTGAACACTTTCAGAAGCAATCTTAGTAACATCAATGGGTTCCGATTCATTTGGATGAACAACCATTGCATTGATTGAAGATTCAGCATGCTTTTTGTTGCTTGAAATCTGAGAAAACCTATCCCAAGCTTCAATTACTGCTGGATCTTGCCAATACTCTTCATCTTGGCTAAATGAAAGAGTATTATCTTCAGTCAAAGTTTTGGAGCTCATCTTATGCTCATCACAAATGCCCATGGCATCTTTCTTCAACTTTTGTATCTTCTCATTGTTTGGAAAATACTTGATGGCAGTTTCATGTTTTTGACTGAAATACCTGTATGCCAAGACCAGGTTTGTAGATGTTGTTGCAAGCTTCATAAGGCATTTCTGTAAAAAAAAATAAAAAAATAAAAAAATACATAAATAAGATAAATATAAATGAGAAGAGTAAATATGGAATAAGCAAAGTGGATATGGAATGAGCAAAGTCATATAAAAATGAGCAAATTGAACTTTATATGAGCATTGAAGTTTTTGCTCATTTGACAAATGAGCAAAAAATTAAGAACTATAATGCTCCTGCTCACAAGAAATATCCACATATTTATCATATATGAGTTTCACGAGATTGCAGTAACCAAAGACCAACATTTACATAAAATACTTTTTCTATATTCATGACATGCATATGAGTAATGCAAAAGCACACATATGGCCACTTGCCTCTATGCATCATACTGAGAAGAACTCTAAAAATAAACAAAAAATTAATATTGGCTTCCAGAAAACTCATATAAATACCTTCTTTGGATCTTGTTCACTTTCTTCATTTTTTGTACGAATTGGATCAGATTGTTCCTAAAGACAAACATAAACAAAACAAAAAAAAAAAAAAAAAAAAAGAAAGTTAGAACAAGTTGAAACCAAATATCCTAACAAATATAAACCAAGCTTACTTATAACACATAACCAATTGCATAATTTGCTCATCTGTCAAATGAGTAAAAAATTATTTGCTCATTTCAAATATGAGCAAGTAATTGCTTACTCATTAGACAAATGAACAAAAATTCGTTGGTCATTTCCAAAAAGAACAAAGAATATTACAGTATATATGGTTACCTTATTGGCAACTACTTGATTTTCCACTTTAGAAGGAATGAATTTTTCTTAAATAAAAAACAAAAAAGTTAAAAAAGTAGGATAAAAAGGAAAAAAATAAAACAGAAAATTATAGTTAAACACCATTTTAGGCTGTGTCATGCTAGAAGAACCAACATCAAGCTTTTTAGCACGAATATTTCCAAGCCTCCCTTTAAAGAGTTCCAATTTCTCACGTGTTGACATCATAGATGTTGTCCACCCTTTCAAGATTGGAATTTCACGTGTAGCTCGAACTTCCTCAAGTACAAATTGATCAACATATAATAACTACAAACAAGTAAGAAAAGAAAAATTAGTAAATTAAAAATCAACAAATAAGTAAGAAATACTACATTAAAAATATACAAAAATTATAGTAATACCATAAGAAACAATAAAGACCCAGGAAAAGAACGAGTTGGACGTTCTTCCCATAAAATCTTGCCCTTCACGAGAGAATCAAGGATATACTTTGACCAATTCAAGTCCTTGATTTTATCAACATCAGAAAGAAATGTAAGAATATCAGAATTAATATTCATGTTTTGTTTCCCTGACAAAAAAATGAGCAAAACAAAAGAGAAATGCGCAAATAGAAATTTAACTGAGCAAAATAAAATAGAAATGAGCAAACTAAATTGAAAATGAGCAAATTGAAAGTAAAATGAGCATAATAAAAATAAGAAGACTACCATCCATCAGTGTAGACACACAAAGAACTACAAAGTTCCGTTTGAACATAGCACCAGCTGACTTATGCTCCTTCAAAAACTCTTTAAGCTCCCCTATTTTGATAGAGAGTGAGTTGCTTTGGAATTGCTTTTTCCATTGTTGAATGACTTTTTTATTTCTGGAAAAATTATTTTTATCAATCTCTATGCCCCCTATTGGCAACCCAAGAACTTCATGCACATGGTCTTCAGTAATACGGAAAGGATCAGAATCAGGAATATTTAATGAGCACGTCTTAGCATCAAAGTGCTGCACCAACCATAAACCCAACCGCAAAGGCAGTTGGGTCACCTTCAAAAACTCCATCGACCCAAATCCTACATCTCTAACTGCTTTCAACTGATTTTGTGAAAGTAAAACTGATTCCATAACTTGAACAATGGATGAGGTGACATCCGACTATGCAATGTCCCATGAATGTAAGACTTCAAACCTTCCACTTCATTACCTGACTTCAAAACTTGCAATTCATTGCTGGATTTCATCTCCACTACCTTAATCATCGGTTTTTCTTTCTTTAATGTGTCCTTTAAAACCATTTTTCCTTTGTCATTAGAAGATCCTATCTTGAAACTCATTCCTTTATATTGTGGCTGTGTAGAACGACCAACAACTCCTAATTGTGCTGGCCCTGCCGCATCTTCGTCACCACCAACAACTCCTAACTGTGATGCCCCTGCTGCATCTTGGTCACTACCAACTCTTAACTGTGCTGCCCCTGCTGCATCTTGGTCACCACCAATAACTCTTAACTGTCCCGCCCTTGCTGCATCTTGCTCACCAACATTAACAGCAGAATTTGTCTCAACAGATGTCCTGCTCAACAAAATAGGTATCCTTGATGTCAAATGAGCAAATACTTAGCTACTAATTTAACAAAATGAACAAAACTTAAATGCTCATTTCTCAAATGAGCAAATAGTTAAATGCTCATTTCTCAAATAAGCAAATACTTA